CTCTCTCTGTCAAATAAATAAAATCTTTAAAAATAAATAAAATTCCACTTATATAAACAACTCATTATATGTAATAATTATTATACATACAAATAGCTATTGATTAAAGGAGTCTTTTTGATATTTCTTTGCTTTCTGTGTCCTTAGGGAACAAAACAATAGAATTGTAGTGAAAAACTATAAATTTAAATTATTAAGTCAGTCATCTGAATGAATGAAGATCATGTGTTTGTATATATTTATTTTTCTCTAAGCAGGTTGGCAACATTGTACAAATCACCAAGCCAGAAGGAATCTACAGTACTGTTTCAAATCACAGTCAGTATTATTTGATTAGAGTGGGGTTTTGGTGTTGGTGGGCAGTAATTATCTGAAGAGAGCATTTACAAATTGCTTCTGTTAACTTCTGTAGGCAGCAAGCATATTTGAGGACAGCTTTTGATGCTTAGAACATTATCCCCAAAATAGTAGTATATATACAGAATATTCTGGTGACAATTGGACTGAAATTTATTCTTAAGAACAGAGGAAATACTTTATTTGTAGGCTAGTGTGTTCCATGCCATATGTAATGTCAAGATATTAAAATTTTTTAAAGTGAAAGTTGTTAAAGATTTTCCAAGAAAAAATACTAACATTACTCATTTTAGTCTGTAGATATTATAGATCTATCATAGCCACCAAATATATCCTGCTTTAAAATGTTAATTTTCCTATAATTTAAAATCATAGAACACTTTTTTGGCTGAAATATGCATATTTATCAGTAGTGTTGAGCCAAATATATTCTTGGCATTTCATTTTTTAAGGACAAAAACAGAAATAGAGATTCTGAAACTGAATTATCGACTTAGTCTTTGTACTGCTTAGGTGCATTTAAAGTATCCTAATTGGAAAACTAAATTTAGAGTATTGTGAAAATAAATTTGTAAAGCATCTAAGTAATTAGTACATGTTACTTCCTTTTACTCTTCAATAGAGTCACCGTAAAGTTTGTTAAGATTTTTAGAGTGCATTTTTATAATGCACTGGTATTTCTGTTGTGTATATATAAACAATATGTAAATAAATGAATACAGATATAAAATACTCTAGATATGAAATACGCTAGTACAGCTTTGGCTTGGACACCTTTTCAGGAGGTTTAACCTCCTCATTCGCAGTGGTTAATAACTTCTGTCTCAAGAATAAAGTAGCTCTTTTATCAATTACTTAAAAATATTTGGAAAACTAATCGTTATTTTAGTTGTTCTTAAACCATACTTGTATATTTTTTCATCTTCCAGCCTCAGGGATTTAGAGATGCTGTTGTTGCTACTGCATCTTCTTTGCAAACAGAAGGTTCGTTGAATTCCCGGAAACGGTCACGAGAATCAGAGGAAGAACAGGAGTCCAAAGACTAGTCTTAAAGTATACATATATGTTGATGCTGTGAGATGTAATACATATAAGCAGTAGACTCTTTACTTTAAAATATAAACACACACTATGGCACATATGAATCAAGAGCATGTGAAGTGAAGTGAAAAACACGGAATGAGTATGATTCTCTGAATTTTTCTAAAGCAGCTCTACCATTATATTTTGCCCTGTTTTCATTTTTAGTAACAGTCAGCAGAGATGATACAGGTATTGTATTTTTGCAAATGTGGAAAGCTGATCTTGTGTGACCAATCTGAATTTACCATTCAGGCTGTTTTTTCCTCTTTTCTTTGTTAATTGCTTAGAAAATCCTAGGAAGAAAAGAGTTTGGTTTTTTTTTCACATTCCTATTGGGTTCTCCTCTTTAAATGTAGTTTTGATAATTCTTAAGAATGACTTGTTTTTGAGCCATCTCTTACTTGGCATCATGGCTGCCCTCAGACCTCTATTGAAGCCCAATACCATTAAAAAGAGAATCAAGAAGTTCATCCAGCACCAGTCAGACCCATATGTCAAAATTAAGCACAACTGGCGGAAACCCAGAGTCATGGACAATAGGGTGCACAGAAGATTCAAGGGCTAGATCTTGATGCCCAAAACTGTTCACAGGAGCAACAAGAAAACAAAGCACATGCTGCCCTGTGGCTTCTGAAGTTCCTAGTCCACAATGTCCAGGAGCTTGAGGTGCTCCTGATATGCAACAAATCTTACTGCGCAGAGATTGCTCACAATGTCTCCTCCAGGAACCACAAAGCCACTGGAAAGACCAACCCAGCTGGCCATCTGAGTTACCAGTGCCAATGCTACTCTGCGCAGCCAAGAAAATGAATAGACCGCTTATGTGCATGTCGTATTTGTGTTAATAAAACCATAAAACTACAAAAAAAGAAAAAGACTTGTTTTTACTATTATAAAGAAAAGCCAGCACCATGAGTCAGCATATTATTATATTCAGTTTTAATGGTAGGATACAAATTTTAGATGACCAATCAGATTTTAGTGACCCCAATCCTAAAATCTAAGCCTTTTTTTTTTTTTTTAATGTTATTTTATGTTAAGGGAAGGACTTTGGAGCTGTTACCCTATCTAGAAAATGTCTAGAACGTTCATCTTCCAGAAGAGTCAAGTTGATAAACTCACAATTATTTATTTCTACATTTTTGAAACGTGGTGTGATCCATTCTAGAATTCTAGATGTATTGACATTTTCCTTTGAATAATCTTAACACTGTTTGAATAAATTAAAAATTTGGATTCTTGAGTGGTTTTAAAATCATCTAAAAATGTTTTGGCACCTGATTCTTCTTCGTACTTCTCAATTCATTCACAAAATTTACTCTGGTTCCCAATGGAAGAAAATTATTTAAATAATTCAGTATTACATACTGTGACAACCATGTTCTCCAGATTTTAGTGACAATTGGTATTTCCTATCCCAGACTGACCACTAAATTTATAAAGTTTTAAAAATATAATTTTTCCATAATTGATTATATATAGAATAACCATAGTTTGCCAGGACTTTTTTGAGAATGAAAGTAGACACTGCTAACAATTACACCAGGACAGTGGACATAAATCAGGACCATCCCAGGCAAATCAGGCATATGGTCATCCAATCATATAAGACTAACTTCAAATGACTAGTGTAGGATGACTGATTGTAATTATGAGGCATATATTTTTATTATCAATTCAGTCATTATTAAAAAATTACCCATCATTTTATATTCTCTGCTCAGATCATAAAATCAAGAGAGTGAGGGGGTTATAAGTGATAAATATCAGTGTTACTAGGCATCAGAGCTGTAGGAATCTCATAAAGCGTCATAACATTGTACTTTAAAGAACTGTAGGACCTGGAATATAGACAAAGCCAAGTGGTTTTGCTTTTTGTTTGCAACTCTTCTTAGGTAAACTTTATGTAAAATAGCCTTTCAGGGCGCCTGGTGGCTTAGTCTGTTAAGCGTCTGCCTTGGGCTCAGGTCATGATCCCAGGGTCCCAGGATCGATTGAGTCCCGTCTCCAGCTCCCCACTCAGCTGGGAGTCTACCTCTCCCTCTCCTTCTGCCTGTCCCCCCCACCTTCTCTCAAATAAATAAAATCTTTAAAATAACCTTTCAAAGTTGTTGTTATTGCTAAAAAGATAATTATTTTCCTAGTTATACACTTAAATCTTGGTCCGCTTGGGCTGCAGTAACAAAGTACCATAAATTTAAGCAACAAATTTTTCTCACAGTATTAGAGGCTAGAAGTCCAAGATCGGTGTGCCAGCATTGTGTGGTTCCAGTGAAGCTTGTAGACAGCCGCCTACTTACTGAGTACTCACAAGGCCTTTCCTTGGTGAATGTGCATGGAGAGAGATCTTAAAAAGCCACCAGTCCTATCAGATTAGACTTCACCTTTATGACCTCATTTAACATTAATTACCTTCTAAAAGCCCTATCTCCAAATACAGTCCCCCTGAGGGTTAGAGCTTCAACATGAATTTTGGGAACAGAATTCAGTCTGTAGAGATAGAGGAAATTTTGGGGCTCCTGGGTGGCTCAGTCATTAGGCATCTGCCTTCAGCTGGGGTCATGATCCCAGGGTCCTGGGATTGAGCCCCGCATCGGGCTCCCTGCTACGCGGGGAGCCTGCTTCTCCCTCTCCCTCTGCCTTCCCCCTGCTTGTGCGCACTCTCTCTGTCTCTCTCATATAAATAAATAAAATCTTTTTAAAAAAAAGAAAATAAACTCCAAGCAGCCAGTAAAAAAGAAAGAAATGAACATTACATTGTATGTAAATAAGTGATCCTGTTAACTCTGAGAGTATGATTTTTCTCTAAGTTAGAATCTGCATTTTGTGCAGTTATGTCAAATCTTTTTTGGGGGGAGAGGGATATGGTATTTTTTAAAATTTAAATTCAATTAGCCATCATAAAGTACATCATTAGTTTCAGGTGTAGTGTTCAACAATCCATCAGTTGCATATAACACCCAGTGCTCATCACGTATATCAATTTTTTAAAAGTGGTAAATTGTGGGGCGCCTGGCTGGCTCAGTCAGTAGATCATGCAACTCTTGATCTTGGGGTTCTGAGTTCAAGCCCCACGTTGGGTATAGAGCCTACTTAAAAATTTTTTTTAATTAAATTTTGGTAAATTGTACATATCCTAAAGTGTATCACTTTAATCGTTTAAGCGTAGTTTGATGACATGAAGTACATTCACATTATTGTGCAGTCATCGCCACCATCCATCTCCAGAACTTTTGCATCTTCCCCAACTGAAACTGTTCCCATTAAACACTAACTCCTATTCTTCCCTCCCCCCAGCCTATGGCAACCACCATTCTACCTTCTGTCTCTGACTTTGACTACTCTAGGCACCTCATATAAGTGGAACGATACAATATTTGTCCTGTTGTGCCTGGCCTTTTTTCACTTAGCATAGTTTTCAGTGTTCACTGTTACGTGTGACAAGAACTTCCCTTTTTTTTTTTTTAAGATTTTATTTATTTATTTGGCAGAGAGAGTGAGCGCAAGCACAAGTAGGCAGAGCAGCAGGCAGGAGAGGGAGAAGTTTTTAAAATAATTTAATAAAAGTTTTTGCTTATATTTGCTATTACAGTATTTGAGCAAAGTTAGTAAGAGCTTAGAATTTTATATTTAACTACTTTTCAGCTTTCAATTTTACGTTACTTTGTGGAGAACATAATAAGATTCTACCGAAACAGACCTTGTTCTGTCATGACAGTGATTCTTCCGGATATAATCATTTTGAAAGAATGTGTCTTCCTTGCTTATTTGTATTAGTGTGATAAGAGTATTGCTCCTCATTTATATCCCAAGAAATTGTCTTAATACTTCTATCATACCACACAAAAAGTACACAATTACTGCAGAAAGTTGGAAAAACATAAAAAAACCAATCTTTATCTTGTAATAACAACTTAACTTTTTGATTGTAGTCTTCTAGTTTTTTCTATATATGTGCATTTACATACTCATAAATGTGATTCATAGAGCATAACTTTTACTTAAATATTTTATCTCATTAAATATTTTTTCCACATTATCTTCTTAAGCATCAGTAGTATTTTGTCATGTAGAAATTTATTTGAATTACTCATTGGATGTTTAGGTTGCTTTAAAATTCCACTTATATAGGGGCGCCTGGGTGGCTCAGTCATTAAGCGCCTGCCTTCGGCTCAGGTCCTGACCCCAGGGTCCTGGGATTGAGCCCCGCATCGGGCTCCCTGCTCAGCGGGAAGCCTGCTTCTCCCTCTCCCACTCCCCCTGCTTGTGTTCCCTCTCT